TTTAAGGCAGAGGTAACAAGCTGTCTATTGAAAGCCTGTAAAGTAAACAGCTTGTGAGGCTTTGGTTTCTTTTTTAAAAATAGGAAAACAGAAGCAGCCTGAATGGGTGGGACAAGCTCCCACAAAACCAGGATTTTTAGTTTTAGTTTACAGTAGCAGTTGCTGGGTCTTGAAGCTGGGTGGAAGCTGTAGCACCTCTCTCCCTGCTACTCACTGTCTGTGAGTTATCTCTTAATGTTTTTCCTCCTGGACTGGAGAATTGCCTGTGAGACAATCTATTTTTCTGAACTTGCCTTTGTCACAGGTGTTTATGGGATGTTGTTATATTAAAAGTTAATTAGTAGTAGTTAATAGACCTATTATTTTGTTAAGCATGTTGATAGAGTTTCAGTTAAACCGATTCTTTTATATTTATTTTCACTGTACTTTAACTGTAGTGTAAAAATAAAGTGTGTTTTGCTTAATGTTGAGTAGTTTGACCAATCAAATTGCATCTGCAATGCAACATCTTATACTTGCCTTTAAAATAATAAAAGTTAAGGTCTAGGCTATCTTCTTAATATATTTTGAGGGGGTGTTTGTCTGGTCAATAACACCTGATCCTGAAATTCTCAGCTCATTATTGTTCTTCTATTCTGATTTTTCCTTATGCAGACTAATTTTGAATTAGCATCCCCTCACCTTATCTGAGAACCATTTAATAATCCTGCAAGACAATTAATTTCAGCTAATCACTAATCAAAATCATCTTACCAGAATTTGCTATGCTACAGTGAGCAACACAGGTTTTGACATTGCTTCAGTGTTGACCATTCTGTTCACCATTTTTAAAAGCCAGCTCTGAGTACAGAAAGTATTAATTTCGTCACTCAGTCTCTTTGTTATATCCTGTGATCAAGCTCCTTCCATTTTGAGCTGTTTCTGTAACTTATCAAAAACATTAAAATACAGGTTGATTTTGTAATTTTATTTGTTTATCTGCTTAAACGGCTGATCCATATATATGTTTCATACAGAATTCCATGTGACTGCATTCTAAACACTGGATATAGATAAATCATATTGTACGCAAGTTACCTTTACTGTTACTGATAGTGATCTGTTCTGTGCTGAGTGATTCAGTCAGGTTTGTAATAGGTACATTCCAATTAACCTTTGTAGCTAATTAATGAAAAAAAATCAATTATTCTATGGAGCCACATCTGAAAATGTGACAGTGCCTTTCATAAGAAAGGAGATAAAAACCTTAGATACATTTGAGCTGAAGTTTTAGATTGCAGTGCTAAAGAGGTGTAATACTGCCACAATGATTCCAATTTGATTATGTAAGAAAATATAAGGATTGCTAAACACCCCATTTTTTGAGATATGATTTTGGTCATTCTCAAATCCTATATTTGCTCCTTACTATATAACAATAGTGGGAAGTCAGTTTACCATTTTTTAGTTGATACCCCAGCGCTTGCAGCCCACTTAATTGGCTCCACATTGACAAACATTCAATCACCGACGCTCAGTAGCAGCAGTGTATAACATCAAAGGACACACTGCAGAAATTCCCAAGCCTCCTTAGTCAGCACCTTTCAAACCCATGACCTTTGTTTTGTTCATCAACGGGATGAGGGTATCACTGGCTAGGCAGCATTTATTGCCCATCCCTAATTGTTATTGTCACTAATTGAATGTTATCTGGGTCTCTGGATTATACAGTCCAGCGATAATACTAGGTTATTGCCTCCCACTTCCATCTAGAAGGACAGGGGCAGTGAATACACGGAAACACCACAATGGGCATGTTTCCCTCCAAGCCACTCGCCATCCTGACTCAGAAATATATTGCTTTTCTTTCAGCGTTACTGGGTCAACATCCTGAACTCCCTGCTCATGTGATCCAAACATAAATTAAGAAATTTCATAAGTTCGTGCAAGTTAAACAATGATTTTGAATTGTTAAGAGAAATCAACATCAAAATAACCATGCAATTATATTGTAACTAATTCCTATTAGGTATTACGAATTTCTACATAATGTGAAGAGCTCAGTATTAGTTTTGAACAAAATCTTTGAATAGAAACAATATAATTAAAAGCTTCAGGTAAACATTTGGTTAATATTAATGTTTTGAACTCAAAGTTAAGTTACATTGCTCAACATGTGGGACTCCATATCAACTATAATCCATGTAAAATTTCAGTGTAAAAGTTTGTGTGTTGAACTTAATCTAGGGTTTTATAAATAATTTGACAATGAAGATGAAGGAGGAGACTTAGTGCAAGTATTCAAATTACCTTGAAAATAGAAGATTGTTCAATTTGAGAAGTTGGCTTCCCAAGTATTTGTTGGTTAAGAAAATCAAAAAGTGCAATCTTTATTGCAACCTAAATAATAAAATGCAATAACTCAGTGTTTGAATTAAACTTCATGATAGAAAAATAATACATGGATAAATATTCATCTATTTAATTTATTTTAAATAATGAATCATTTATTACTCTACGATACACATTGTCATATCAAACTGTACTTCATTGCAACATTTTCTACAGATTATCAACATCACATATGGGAATGATTAGGAATTAAACAATTATCAATGTGTACTTCAAAAAGAAAGGATTTTCACAAATATGTTTATAAACTAAAAAGGTAAGTTAATCCACATATATATTGCTGTAACTATACTTTCTGTAGAATTATAAAATATCCTTGGCTGTTAAAATACAATTTTACATCTTGGATAATTAAATCTCTAATTTCTTCATCATTTCGTGGGACTTGGGCATTGCAGGTGAAGCCAGCATTTGTTGCCATCTCCAAATGCCCTTGAACTGAATGATTTACACAGCCATTGCAGAGGGCAGTTACTGGTGTTAGTTTGGAGTTACATGTAGGCCAACAGGGTAAGGGTAACAGCTTTCCTTCTTAAAAGTGTCATGGTCAGGTTTATATTCCAAGTTTATCAAATAGGTTTAAACTCCACCAGCTGCCACTGGTGGCATTGAACATATGTTCCCAGATCACCAACCTCAGCCTCTGAATTACTAGTCCAGTGAAACACATTTATGCTGATAAGTTGCTCAGTTACAGCACATCAGTATAGTGGTTCCAAAGGGTATTGTTTAATGTTCCAGCATCCTTAGTTCTTTGTCAATCACCTTTCCTCTATCATAAGGTTAGAGGATATTTGTTGATGATGCAGTGTAGAATGAATTAGGGCTGATTAGGAAGCTGGTTTTTTAAATGTGAAACTCATGTTTCACTGATTTGCTGGAGTTTTTTGTAGAGATATGGTCCACATGGACTTTCAAAAGGCTTTCTATATGGTGCCATAACAGACTCAGCACAGTTACAGGAAACATGACAGGAAACAGAATAGTTCTGTCAATGGATGTTGTCAAGACCAAAAAAAAATTTTGTAGCAGAGCATCCCAGAGGTCAGTACTGGGACTCTTGCATTCCTGATAAATATTAGTGATTTGGATCTTAATGTGCAGGGGACAATTTAAAGGTTTGCAGATGACACAACACTTGGAAACATTGTAAACTATGATGTAGATGATGTTGAACCTCAAAAGGTCATTGACATGTTGAAGAATTGGGCAGATAGCTGGAAGTTGAGTGGGCAGATAGTGGAGAAGTATGACACGGTGCAATTGAAAGAGCTTGACACTTGGGAAAGTGCACTGATGTTCGAGACATGCTATTCCTGAAATCATCACAGAAGTTGAGCCTTTAAATCAAATTATTCAAGATTCTGAATTTTCCTGTCAGATGAACTCAGGTTAACAGAAAATACTAACCAAGTTTCTGTACTTAACAAAAAACTACTATTTATTACAAAGAAATCAATTTTAACCACAGGCAAACAAAATTAAGTTCTCAATGTAGAATTCTACTAGCTGAAACTCCACACTCCTTCTTAAACCCCTACACAGACAAACAAACAAACATGGATGTTAGGGGTGGAAGGAAAGACCACTGCGGAAGCACATTTCAATAACACCAGTCTCAAAGAATCAATGAATTCACCTTTTCGCTTCCCAAGCATTTTAGACCTCCAAACTTCTTGTTTGTTCCAAATTCTTTACTGCAGGCTCGGTGTACAGTTCCTCAGTGACTAGTTAGAGACAACAGCTTGCAACAAATGGTGGGAGTGAATAGCTAGGCCTCTTTCAAGTTTCACTTACTTCACTGCAGAAAGTGACAGACTCTTTCTTTGTTGCAGTCTGCAGGTTTCTGCTTGTGTGTTTCAAACATATTCTCTGTTCACCTGCCCAGGAACATGTTGACAGGCTAATGATCCCTGGCCTCCACAACTGGTCCTGATAGGTTTGTGCAATCAGCTGTCTGTCTCTGAGTGAAGCTTGCACAGCGCACATCCATGGTGATGTAACACTTTAGCCATTTTCCCCTGAACAGCATCAACAAACCAATCAAGTAAACACAACTGTTAATGAATTCCACTAACTTTTCTTCAAAAATTCCACTAATTCTTTCCACAGTCCTTGGTTTAAAGCTGTCCTTTATCCATTTTTGTTCACAATACAAAATGAAGAAAAACAAAAAGAGTGAAGAAATTTCTCCTCATCCTAATCATAAATGGGCGACATCCAAGAACTATAAATACAACCAATTATACTGTTTCTCTACAACGTTCTTGATCAAACCAAATAATGATCTATTTTTAGCGTAAAATCAATAATTCAAGTAGAATTGATTCACTTTTAGCCATGTAGTCTTGAGTATGGTGTTTGAAATAAAATCAAACACATTTTGGAAAAGGTAACCCTTCAGATTGTCATACTTTACTTCATAATCTCAAAAGTACTTTTAATTTATGTAAATGTGACATTTTGAATATTTTAGCAGGTTAGAGTCAATATTGGAATTAAAAAACATTATTCTGTTTTGCACCTCTTCTAAATTAGGTTGATGTCATGAAGCGTGGCAACAGCAAAGTATGGAATTCAATGAAGACTTCAAACTAGACTGAGAAATCAAATACAGATGAGCTTTTGAAAGGAAATGCAATGGACACAAATCTCTCTGAGGCAACAGAAACTGTTCAATGCTGTTATGAATTTGTAAATGGATCTTGCCCTAAAGCAGCCCGATCAAATGGCCTTCGGTTTACAATGTATATATTTATGCTGCTAATAATTGTCTGTACTCTTATTGGTAACATGTTACTCATTATTTCAATTTTGCATTTCAAACAGCTTCACATATCCACCAATTATCTTATTCTTTCTTTGGCTACTGCTGACTTTCTGTTGGGCTGTTTGGTTATGCCTTACAGCATGGTGAGATCCGTAGAAATGTGTTGGTATTTTGGACAATTGTTTTGCAAGATTCATTCCAGCTCTGATATAATGCTCAGCACAGCTTCAATATTACATTTGTGTTTTATCTCTGTTGACCGTTACTATGCAGTGTGTGACCCACTGAGATACAAAATAAGAATTACTTTCTCCTCAGTGCAGATGATGATCATCGTCAGTTGGGCTGTTTCAGCTATTTTTGCTTTTGGTGTAATATTTTTAAAATTAAATTTAAAAGGAATGGATGAAGTTTACAACAATAACTTTGCTTATTATGGAAACTGCATACTTATATTCAGTGAAATATCAGGGCTGGTTGCATCAATGGTTTCCTTTTACATCCCAGGAATTACCATGCTGTGTATTTATTCTAAGATTTATTTTGTGGCAAAGAAACAGGTCAGAAATATAAACAAAATAGCAAGTCAAATTCAAAATATCAAAAATAGCAAAACTAGATTTGCACAAAATAATGAAAGAAAAGCTGCCAAAACCCTAGTTCTGGTTATGGGTGTATTTTTGATTTGTTGGTCTCCATTTTTTATTTGCAATACAATAGGTGGTTTTGTCAATTATTCAATCCCTCCTGTTTTGATCGATGCTTTTGTTTGGTTTGGTTACTTGAATTCTATGCTTAATCCTATAATCTATGGCTTCTTCTTTTCCTGGTTTAGAAAAGCTGTAAAAATAATTTGCAAGGGCCAAATATTTCAACCTGTTTCTTCGAGAATGGACCTGTCCTGTGACTAAAGTACACATGAAAAGGAGACAGTGGGTACAGTAGACAAGGGACTTGTCAATTTGACGTGTTGCCACTGGTATTGTTTGAATACATGTGTAATTGCTATAAATATGAACTTGGGTGACCTGATATTGTGACATGTCCATCCTTGAACCAGTCCAAAATCTGAACCTTACTCCAGGCTGCCAATTAGTTGTATGCAGTGTATAGTTAAACCATTACAACTTCCTGTTTTCACAAAAATGCAATTAAAAATTGGGAGATTTAAAGAACAAAAAACATCTCCTTAAGGACCATTGTTCATTCTGCTCAGCATCCAGTTTTCAACGTTGTGTTTTAAGCACACATTCCACCCATTTATACTTACAAATTGCATCCAGGTACTAAGGATATTTTAGGACTTAGACTTGCATACTTAATGTGGCTCCCACCAATTCAGGTGAATCCAAGAGCTATAAAGTAAAGGTTATAAAGGTGGCCAGAAAAACAACAGCATGTAGGATTAGAGCAGGGAACAAGGAGGTCAGAGTCAAATGCTGTACTGTCATCTTAAGACTGGTGGCATCTTGTTAAAACCAGGCTGCCTGAACTAAAATCATCAATACCAACAAACCTCCAGATTTTATGGGATTTTGAATTTTCTGGGAATTGTCCAATTTATTTTTTCATGTGAAACATTTTTGAGCCTTTTGTTTTACATTTGAGTGTCAGATAATATATTTGACGATTTTGACTTTGAACATTGTTGCCCCTCCAAAAAAAGTTGAATCAGTTCCTTGTGAGTACTAAAGCCTCCCATGAGCTACGAAAATATATTATAGCTTGCATTATCAAGAAGGTATACTTTATAATCTTATTCTAAAATAAAACTGTGTTGGTAATAACAAAGGATTCATATTACATACCTTTTCTGTATGAACAGACAAATGCTACCTATTAAGATTGACATAAGCCACAATCACGACTATTGTTACAAGTTAAATAATTTCACATCAGAATCAGAAAATGTGTCTCACAAAACTAGATAATAATGTTGTATAAACAAGCCATGAAAATTAGCAACCATCAACATATGAATCGTGAAACCAAAAAAAATCATATTTCTAGAATCTTGAGATTTTGATGGCTCATTTGTCTGTTATTTTTCTTATTTATTCATAAGATGTGGGTGTTGTTGGCTGTGCAAATATTTATTGCTAATCCTAATTGCACTTGAGAAGGTGAACTGCCTTCATAAACCACTGTAGCTCATCCAGTGTAGGTACTATTAGGGAGGGATTTCCAGGATTTTGACCCAACAACACAGAAGAACTGGCAATATGTTTCCAAATCTGAATGGTGAATGACTTGAAGGGTAAATTACAGGTGGTGGTATTCCCAAGTAATTGTTGTGCTTGTCCTTCTAGATATTTGTGATTGTGCGGAACATGCTGACTAAAGAGCCTTGGTGAATTTCTGTAGTTCATCTAACTTGTGTACACTGCTGCTATTAAGCATTGGTGTTAGAGGAAGTGAATGTTTGTGGATGTGATGCCAATCAAAAAGGGAGTATTTCCTCATATGCATTATAGATAGTGAATAGGCTTTGTGGTTCAGAAGGAGAGTTATTTGCTGCAGTATTCCTAGCCTCTGACCTGTTTTTGTAGCCACAGTATTTATCTGGCTAGACCAACAACTGATCTGGACGAGCCATATATCAGTTTGTTGTTGTTGTTGTGTGGAGATTTAAAGGAAGTTTGGGATGCACTAATCTATGTTAAAGATGTGGCTAATTGGCATGATATTTTAAAAACTCTGTCATTATGTGATCATGATATCATCATTGACATTGACTACCTACACGCTCAGGTGTTAACCCTTTGTCCTACTAAATGAATTATCATTAAGTCATGTTTTAACCATGCATGATGTAAAATCAGTCTGAATCCCAGATCATTATGTGGGTGCCAAAATGATATCTGATTCCCATGAGCACATATAAAGGCACAAATCAGATTGAACATTGCCTTGGTGAGGGTGTTCTTGTACATGCAGCTAACATCTGCTGAAATATGCACAGCATATAGATTATGAGGTCAATCAGCATGTAGTGCTGATTTTACATCAGTGGCTCCAATCTTGAAATTCTACCCTCCAGTGATGCCCTCTTTAAACTACACAACTGAACATGAAGCAGGAAGGATCAAATGCCCAACAGCACTATTTAATGGTATTGTCAACTGCTCACAGATTAGGTGAAGGTTGATATATTCTGGTTGATGCTGTGATCCTAATAGCGTTTGATGATTTTCCAAGTTAACAGGCAAAGCTGATGCAGGGGCTGGAAGAGATTTGCTGACATCCAGGCTTCTGCACAAACTACTTGGACACATGGCTGTACCATGAGGCATTCCATTTGGATCATGTTTTGAAGGATGAACACAGGTCACGCAGAATAGGACAAACTGCTGCAAGAGGAAGGCAGCAATGGGAAGAAAGGTTCTCAGTAGCAAACCATATCCACCCAGATTGTTTCTCATTGATGTTTAGATTGTTTAAGGAGCTATGTATGAAATGGCTATACTTCACTCAGGATGACTTCACTGAAATCTGTCACTTGCTACAGGAGCGACTGCATCCTCAAAAATAGGGTCTGGATGTCATTTGGAGTGATGATTGGTAACAACTAATTTATTTTGTTGGGTGGAATCTTGTACTGGTGAAAGGGGTCTTGGTAAGCTGGTGAGACAACTGTTTGACATCTTTCTGGGAAGGTCTGTTAGCATCACACATTAAGCAAGCAGTTGACAGGCCGACAGCAGGCATTTCTTCCGTCTGTCTCTGTCTCCCTCTTGGTCAGCAAGGGGAGTGGCTTGGTAGGAGACTTGATTCCATCTAGATGGACATGGTCATATGTTTGGAAGGTGCTGCCTAAGGAACCTTGGCGAATTTCTGCAGAGCATCTTGTAGCTGGTCTACACTGTTGCCATTGAGTGTAAGTTGACAGGGAGTGGACATTTATGGATGAGGTGCCTATCAAGCAGGCTGCTTTGTCCTAGATGGTGTGACGATGCTTCTTATATTATTAAAGCCGCACACATCCAAGCAATTGGGAAGTATTCCATCACACTCCTGGCTAATGCCTTATAGATGGAAGACAGACTTTGGGAGACAGGAGGCAAGTTATTCACTGCAGAATTCCCAACTTCTGACCTGCTGTTGTAGCTACTGTATTTTTTTTGGCAAGTCCAGTTTAAGTTTTGGTCAATGGTAAACCCCAGAATGATGATAATGGGGAATTCAGTGATGGCAATGCTATTTAATGTTAAGGGGTGATGTTTAGATTTTTTCATGTTAGAGATGGTCATTGCTGACATTTGTAAGGTACAATGTTATTTGCCACTTGACAGCCCAGCCTGAATGTTGTCCAGATCTTGTATATTTGAATATGGACTGTTTTAGCATCTGAGGTGTTGCGAACGGTGCTGAATATTGTACAATCATTGGTGATCATCTCCACTTCTGACCTTATGATGAAGGGAAAGTATAACTTCAACCAGCAGAGCGTTTTCTCCTGATTCCTATTGACTCCAGTTTTGCTGGGCTCTTTGATGCTACACTTGGTCACATGCAGCCTCAGTATCAAAGACTGTCACTCTCACCCCAAATTTTCAGCTCTTTTGCCCGGGGTTGAACCAAGGATATAATGCAGTCAGGAATTGAATGGCCCTAGCAGAATCCAAACCGGGTATCAGTGAGCAAGTTATTGCTAAGCTTGATAGCACAGTTGATTACTCTATCACTTTACTGATAACCAAGAGTAGACCGTTGGGACGGTAATTGGATCAGTTGGATTTGTCCTGTGTTTTATGTGCAGGACATGCCTGAACAATTTTCCCAATTGTCGGATAAATGCCAGTGTTGTCACTGTACTGGAATACCTAGCTTAGGGGTGTGGCAAGTTCTGGAGCACATGTATTCAGTACTATTGCTTTCAGGGCCCGTAGCCTTTGCAGTATCCAGTGCCTCAACCTTTTCTTGATATCATGTGGAGTGAACCAAATTGGTAGAAGACTGGCATCTGTGATTTTGGGGACCTCGGGCGGTAGCTTGGATGAATCATCCACTTGGCACTTCTGGCTGAAGATTGTTGTAAATACTTCTACCTTATCTTTTATGCTGAGATCCCCCATTATTAAGGATGGGGATATTTGTGGTGCCTCCTCCTCCAGTGAGTTATTCTATTAACCCCCACCATGCACAACTGGATGTGGCAGGACTGCAGAGATTAGATCTGATTTATTAGTTGTAGAATTGCTCAGCTGTGTCTATCACTGGTTGCTTTTGCTGTTTGGTTCAGTCCTGGTTGGTAGCTTCATCAGGTTGACACTTCATTTCTAGGTATGCCACCTGATGCTAGCTTGTCCTCTTGCTCTTTTCATTGAACCAGGCTTGATTATAGACTGAGGATATGCTGGGCCATTAGGTTGCAGTTTGTGTTGGAGTACATTTCTGCTGCTGTTGGCCAGAGAACCTCATTGATGGTCAGTTCTTGATCTGTTTGAAATCTGTCCCGTTTAGCATTGTATAGTGGTACACACCACAGTGTATTCTCAATGTGAAAGTGGTACTTCAAATCCATAAGGACTGTATGAGTGGCATTCTTATCAATACTATCATGGACAGATGCATCTGCAGCAGGCAGATTGATGAGAACACGGTTTTCTCACCAGCTGCCACAGACTCAGTCTAGCAATATTGTTCGTTAGGACCCAACCAACTCGATCAGGGTAGTGCTGCTGAGCCACTCTTGATGATGGATATCAGAATCCCCCACCCAGTGTACATTAGACCATAAGACCATAAGACATAGGAGTAGAAATTAGGTCATTCAGCCCATCAAGTTTGCTCTGCCATTCAATCATGGCTGATAAGTTTCTCAACCCCATTCTCCCTGTAACCCTTGAGCCCCTTGATAATCAAGAACTTATCTATCTCTGTCTTAAATATACTCAATGACCTGGCCTCCACAGTCTTCTGTGGCAGTGAATTCCATAGATTC